ACTTGAAGATTAGACATCCCGGCTTATTTTACTTGAAGATTAGACATCCCAGCTTATTTTACTTGAAGATTAGACATCCCAGCTTATTTTACTTGAAGATTAGACATCCCAGCTTATTTTACTTGAAGATTAAATCCCGGCTTATTTTACTTGAAGATTAGACATCGGAAGATTAGACATTTATTTTACTTGAAGATTAGACATCCCAGCTTATTTTACTTGCTTATTTTACTTGAAGATTAGACATCCCGGCTTATTTTACTTGAAGATTAGACATCCCAGCTTATTTTACTTGAAGATTAGACATCCCAGCTTATTTTACTTGAAGATTAGACATCCCAGCTTATTTTACTTGAAGACTAGACACCCCAGTTTATTTTACTTGAAGATTAGACATCCCAGCTTATTTTACTTGAAGACTAGACATCTTGAAGACTAGACAGTTATCAATAAATTATGTAGAATGATAACAATAATAAATGCCAAAGGAAAAAATGGGATAAGAACGCTGGAACGAATAGAGGAATTAAATAAAGAGAATAAAGAAAGAGAGTTTGAAGTGAGGAGAGGAAAGGGATGGGATTAGGCAGAGAGCGAGAGTGAGGGAGGATGTTAGCCAATAATGGACGGGAAACATCAGCGGCGGAACGAGCGAGGATTTTTTTTTTGTGCGTACGAACGTGAAACAGACAAATCGGTAGAGTATAATTTGTGAGAGGTGAGAATGGGAGAGAATGGTAGATGTATGAAAGGTGAGAGAATTATTCCAAGTGTGAGAGAAAGAGACTTGGTTACAGGATGTTTTTATCAGCCATGACTGACAGGATAAGCAAGGGAGGGGCCAAGTACGTGACCAGTAACTATTAATATTTAACTAAAGCTGTTATGTTCTCTGGTTTGGAAGATCAACTCAAGCCGTATTTATCTTGGTAATATTATTATTACTGTAAACGCCTTAGTTAAGGACGTTCAGGTTACGGGCAAGTCGAAGGGAATGATTGAAACCCGTCTCTTGACGCATTCACGATTTATTGATGTGGTCAAAACCTGCAGAGGAGAAGGCGTTCATAATATTACAAGGTGATTCATCTGATACATAATTAGTTAGTCTCACACAATTTTATCTTAATTACAATTTATTAAACATACTGACATAACACAAAGTTCATAACTCTATTAATCTCAGCTTCGCTTCATTCTGCATTGTCGTATTACTCCAGGTTAGGCAGAAACGAGTAGGCGTAATTATTCAACAATATTTCAGTACCGAGGGGTATGTCATCACTTAGGCTGTACTTACAAGTGCGGGTCAATGCAGATCAGTATGTTGTTACAAGAGAAAACAGTATTGCGTAAATCGTCCCAGCACAAATTCTCGGACAGAAGGCTGGTCTTCACAGCATCACTAGAGAGGGCGATCTGTCTCATGGAGGGGCGGGCAGCCACCGCCACCAGTCTAAGACAGTCCACTCAGCAGAACCAGGACTTGTCTGTAAACACTTCTACATCTGGCGAGGTCACAGGTCGAAAGATTTATTGGCATCACACGCCAGCACTGTAGCTGAAGCCAGCGGCGATAACAATAACTATTCATAAATTAGTTAGCTTAAAAATAAAAATTAAAGGTGTACTTGTAGTGTAAATTTAGATTAGTTTGAATTACGCGCCAAAACAACTTCTTCACTGCAATTATGTCAGTAATTCGGTTTTCTAATTCCTGCTTAGAGATCTATCGTAAATTGGATGACCAGGTAAAATTGCTTCAGTTTAGTTAAAGGTCGGTTTTATTACATCAAATTTTTACATTGTACAATGTAAATTCTTATATGTAAATTCGATAATGTGGTTTATTTTTTAATGAACTCAAAATAAGTGCATTAACCCTGAAGCAGCCAAGACGCTACTCCCCTGACACGTTAGACAACTTGAACTAGATGTAGTTTCACCCATACTCCTAATTTTACAGAATTTGCATTTAATAAAATATAATGATTTTCTTGCGTTGAATTATTATAAAATTAATTTTTTTTACAGTTATATAGTGCGATTAGAGATTGAAATAATAAATGAGTATAATATATCGGCTTCATTTTTCAGACGGGTGTTCCCAGCCCTGACTTCCGCTGACGTCATCACATCGTATGGGGCAAAGACCATCTTGTTAAAACGTTACAACTAATTCTTAAAAAAAAGTGGTTTTCCGTTTCCTTTTTTTTACGTTAAATAATTAAGATCAAACTTGAATATTTAGAGAACTAATTTTCGTTAGTATTAAAGTTTTTTTTTGTAGGTATTTAGATGTATGTGTGTGATTTTATCAAGATAAATAAATACCTGTATATATAATACAGTATAAGTATATGTTGTAAACTCGTGGTGTTTACTGCGTGCCAGAGGTAGTGAAGCAAGAGTGAGTGAGTGTGTGTGTTGTTGTTACCCAGGCCGCTGTTCTCTTCACGTGTGAGCTTCCACAAAATCAGAGATTTATCTCTGGAGGCCGACAAGATCATGTCAGGGAAATTCCTGTTTGTTGCTATCTGCGTGACCCAGCATTATGGCCCACCAGAGTCCCACGTAGCTGAAGACTCATTCACCGTGACAACAATGGGAGGAGATTACACTAAAGTGAGCGCGCGGCGACCGCTCACCAAGATGGTTACTTTGTAAAAAAAAAGCCGCTGTTGATATTTTCATTCGTATGAGGCTTTTTGAGTCGCGACGTGAGGGTCCTACACTCATGTGAATATTGTATTACTGGTGCCTTCTGTGCCTCTGAGACTGAGGAAGTTGAGAGGTCACAGGGAATTAGTGAAAGTTCATTTATACAACTAAATAGCGAGTCTCATTATTTTCCTGTTTATTTATTTATTCTTTTAGTTAATGCAGTATTTTGTTGAAATATTTGAGAAAAATGGTGATAATATTTAACTTTATTATTTTGTTGGTATATTTCTAAAAATAATTGAAAATCACAATAGGTGTTTATAAAGCATATTCTGTATACCTCGACTGACAACCATATAAAAAAAAGTTCAAAGCAGATGGAAAAAAAGTATGGCAAAAAAAATACTTCTAAAAATTGTTAAGACACTCGAGAGAAAGATGAGATGAAGCTTCTAATTTTTTAAAACTTTTCACTGTTAATGATTCAGTACGTGCTGACGGAACACACACGACAAGACGTTACAATAAGGTGTCTTGCCACACACACACCGTAAGAATATTAAATAAGTTGCTGCATAATAATAATAATAATAATAATAGCAGCAAGAATAAATATGATTAAAATAGATTAAAATAAGTAAAATATACAAAGAATTCTCCTAAAATCTGAGAAATCAAAATATATTAAATTCGTATCAACTTTAAATAAAAAATACTGATAATAAAACCATTATTAAAGATGTTGTTTTATTTTTATATAAAACTTGTCCATATGAAAAGAATTTTAAATTGGTAAATAAATAAAAAGGACTAAATCCCCGCGGCCTCTCGTGCCTTCTGACACATTCAAGAATTTGTTACCATGACTAAACAAAACGAGCGGGAAAAAAAAAGTATTATTTTTCCCAACAATTTTAAGATTTTTACCACCATTATGTTTATGATTCTACATATTTTTCCTTTATAAGTGTTTTATATACATGATGGTAAAAATTTATTAGAGCTATAACACGATATATTGTCGACTTGGATGTTTACAGATTTTAAAATTTTCACAAGTCAGGGAAGTGTTTACGTCATATTATTAGTCGCTAGCTTTGTCTCGTTGCTTTATATACACCAATTAGATGCATGAGGATAATTATTGATTTAAGTTTTTTGAGAGTCTAGCCGCGGCAATCCTCGGACACAAGTTTCGAAGCCGATTTTTTTCTTGATGCGCGACAGGTTTCATCAGTCTGTTATTTCACTACCAAATATATTCCTAAGGCAGGGCAATGAACCTTCTAGAAAACCCAGAGATTATTATTATTATTATTATTATTATCATTATCATTATCATTATTATTATTACTATTATTATTATTATTATTATTATTATTATTATTATTATTATTATTTGACTTAATTCTACAACATCTTACCTCATCCGCCAATATAAACACCTGAGAATTAAAAATGTCATCTTGGTAATTCTATTTAATGGATTATCATGCAACTGGGCCATACTGCATGATGTGTGCATGATGCTGTATTGTGTATTATTATTAAATAAACATACAAAATCGTATTGGTGATATTCCTGTATTTTGATAAGGCTTTCTTGAAGTCGTACATAGTTAATTAGTTACCCTATACATTAAGTTTGTGTAGAATTTGCATAATATTCTTTGTTTATTATTGAATGTTGATTGTGTGATTTTTATTTTGTGGTATGTGGAGTTGTTATTTATTATGTTTAAATGTTATGGTTGAATGTTGTGTTTTGAGTTTGTGTAAATAACATATATTTGACAACGTAGAAACTGGTTGAAGTTTCTCGTGGTGGAAGTGAAGTTTATGCTGTGAGTGAGTGTATGGGTGATGTAAGTGGCAGTTAACACACACGCACACGCCTGGCATCAAGGACCGTCTCTTCACTGGCTTTGTTTATATCTGAGGCCAGTTTGACCCCTTTGTGGTGTAGTGTGTGAACATTAACGTGGGAAAAGTGTGTATTAACGGTCATGTGTGTACTGTATGTTTGTAAGTTGGTGTTTAATTGTGGTTTTGTAGGGGACTTGTGTGTCTGTCTGTTTGTTTCCGTCTCTTTTGTCTGTCTGTCTCTTATTTTTTTGCCCTGGTTTTGATGTTTGAAGGTAGTCTCTCTCTCTCTCTCTCTCTCTCTCTCTCTCTCTCTCTCTCTCTCTCTCTCTCTCCCTTAATTTTTATATTTGAAGGTGACGTGTGTGTGTGTGTGCGCGCGCGTCGTATCTGATGGTATCTATATTTATGTATTCTATAAGTGTCTTTATAGATGCTTGTTTTTCTCAGATGTTCTTTTGTTTTTCTTCCAGGAGTCAGATTCGTCTTGGCGGGACAGCATCTGCATCTCCGTCGACTGTGAGGATGAAGCGTGAGTGTCTTTCGTTTCTCTCTACTTTTTCTCACTTTCCTTCTCTCTCTCTCTCGCTCTCTATTTCTCAGTTGTTTTGATATAGTGTTATTGTTGTTACCTATATTGTTGTGTTACCTGTATGCCATCTAATGATTTTTATTCTCAATTGTCCGCAGGTTCTTGCATACTACGTAAGTGATTTCTGTTTTCTTAGTTGCGTTTAGTAGTACATTATAAGCTCCTTAAATTAGTGAATAAGTTATGAAGTGTAAGAAATTTCCTTCCTTCCTTCCTTCCTTCCCTCTCTCTCTCTCTCTCTCTCTCTCTCTCTCTCTCTGGTCTGTTTGGACATACGACACTGCCTGGCATATGATGATTGAGATTACCTAACCTAATTGATTGGATTAAACAAAGTTTCCAGTCATGAAGTCGGATTAAGTCGGATTAGGTTGGGTTAGGTTATGTTATGTTATGTTAGGTTAGTTTATGTTAGCATTCGTTTACATGTTTATTTCGCTGTATTTGCTCCTCCTCGACATCTTAGTTGCATACTCTTGAGCAGTACCTTGAACTGTGTTGGCTGGAGGGTGTAAGTTGAGGGTTAATGGTAGTTTAGTGTGTTAAAGGGGGAGAAAATTTGCGATGGGTATTGAGAGAGAGAATAAATTTACATAGACTAACAGAGAGAGACAGATAGAGAGAATTCACACACACACACACACACACACACACACACACACCTGGACCACCATTTCCTTCACCACCACTGGCCTCATCTCCTCGTCTCAGACACGGTAATACGTCTCCCATTACAGGTTAAGTGTGAGAGCGTCCCGTGAAGTGCCTCAGACGTGGACGAGCTGCTGTCAAGTGTGTGGTGGTGGAGTAATGAGCTGTGAGGGAGACTATGTGGGAAGGGGGGGAGGTAAGGGAGGGAAGTTGGTTGGGGGGAAAGGAACAGGAAACTAAAGAGGGGTGAGGGTCATGGAAATAGGAAGGGGGAGGAGGGGGAGAAAGAAAGATATCGGGGAAAGAGGAACATACACTAGCCCTGACATACACTGTAGCCCGCCGTGAGGATAAAAGGAAGGCTCTTATCCTTCTTATCTCCGTCAATAGCAATTCTTAACCACCGGGAAATACACTGATAAGAGACGCCGCCTTTGTCCACAGATCACCTCATGTGGGGCAGATGGAATGATCACTGGGATAACGTGTTTTGATTTCATGTTGAGTGTTGGCGGCTTGTGTTGAGGGGCGTGGGTAGTGTGTTGTGGGTAGTGTTGTGTTGTGGGCCGTGGGTTGTGTTTTGAAGGGCGTGGGTAGTGTGTTGTGGGCCGTGGGTTGTGTGTGGAAGGGCGTGGGTAGTGTGTTGTGGGCCGTGGGTTGTGTGTGGAAGGGCGTGGGTAGTGGTGTGTTGAAGGGCGTGGGTAGTGTGTGTGGGCCGTGGGTTGTGTTGAGGGCGTGGGTAGTGGAGATAACATTGATAAGAGTCGTGGTAGGAAGGTAACAAAGTGGCCTGAAAGGGGAATATGTGTTTGGTCATGTGGCCATGTGGTGCGTGTGGCCATGTGGTGTGTGTGTGGCCATGTGGTGCGTGTGGCCATGTGGTGTGTGTGGCCATGTGGTGTGTGTGGCCATGTGTGTGGAGAGTATGATGTCACCCCACCCGTCAGACCCTCCATTTTTTCTCTCCCTTCAAGTAATACAATGCCCCCCCTCCCTCCCCTCCCCTCCCATCCCCCCCTCCTCATCCCCCCTCCCCATCCCCCCCATGTCTTTCAGGAGCATGTCTTGAGACTCGGCTGATTACCGTATACAAACACCCATAAGGTATCCATCAGCTGATTAATGTAAACAAACCACTCTGGGCTCCATCAGCTGATTGCTAAAATTATTTCTCATGTGACGTACTACATCAGCTGACTCTTGTAAACAAAGGACACTGTGGGTTTTATTTGTTGGTTACAATAATAAACATAAACACGACCTCCATCTGTTACACACACACCCACAAACACACACACACACACACATACACACACACATACACACACACACACACAGAGTATAGATAGCGTGTGGGGAAGAGTGAAAGTTGGTTATGTTAAATGATACGATCTTTTGGAATTGGTTAGTAAATAGTAATAATTTTGGTGGTCAGCAACTGTGTGTGTTTTAAAGGAAGAACTAGAGAAACATGTGAATAAATAGAGACATAAATATATATTGAGAGGGCCGTAGACAGATGGAAACTGTGAGAGAAGAGCAGTCACGTGTGTGTGGGGTACAGTAATACTTCCCCCGCTGCTGGCCAAGACAACACCGTGACTCTCTTTGGTGCCGTCTTCAACCTTTTACACCCAGGTCCTTCCTTCCTTCCTTCCTTCCTTCATTCCCTCCCCCTTCCTCTTCTCCTTCCCTCCCATCCTCCCTCCCTCCCTGTTATTGAGAGGGTTTACTGTATCCATTACTGTATTGAGGAGTCCACTATTGAGAGGGTTTACTGTATCCATTACTGTATTGAGGAGTCCACTATTGAGAGGGTTTACTGTATCCATTAATTTTAGAAGTCCGGTATTGAGAGGGTTTATTGAGAAGTCCGGTATTGAGAGGGTTTACAGTCATACCACATTGGAGGTTAACAATATGATATAGTTACTAGTGAGGGAGGCGTAGCCAGTCATTAAATATAGTCACCACACCATGAACACTACTGCAGAAGGTCTAAACATGTGCCAACAACAGAAGAATGGTCCTCCCTCGGCCGGAGACAATAATGACTTCAACTGCTGCCGTCATATAAGAATGTGACAGGTGCCCCCCCCCCTCCCTGAGCTCCGTTGGGGGGGGTGGTGGTCATAGGGTACGAGTGCCTGTTAAGAATGTATTATTATTATTATTATTATTATTATTATTATTATTATTATTATTATTATTATTGTAGTGTTAGTATTGTAGTAGAATAGTAGTAATTAGAAGTAGTAGTGGTAGTTAGTTTAGTGTTATCAATATTTAGTGTAGTAGTAGTAGTAATAGTGGTAGTAGTAGGAGCCAGAAATACTGTTGTGGAATAAGATTGTCTCATTACCTGGGTAGAGGAACAAGAACACCTACACCGGTGGTTGCTTGGGTCAGGACGCTCGGGTTTCCAAGAATAACTTAATTAGTTTTGTCGTGGCTCTCATAAAATTCTGATTGAAATTCCGACACACCTTTGACTGTCTTGTCCACCTTACAGATCAAGTGGCCTCGTCAGTAGTATGTGTTTGTACCTGAAGGTGAAATTTTAATAGTAGTGATAATCTTTTGAGAAACTTGTCTCTATACGCGGTAATGACCAAGCTGGCAGCCCATAGTGAATCTTCTGCCCCACTTGGCACTTGTTCTTGGCACCTGTCCTTGGCACTTGGCCGCCACTATACCACGCGCCTCGTGATTAGTCCTTCGCTACTATCTACCTTGCGTCCTGCACTTTCCCAGGAGTAGTCATATGGCCGCTTATACTGCAGACGTCACAACAGAAGGCACTGAAAGAGTTCCCGAGTTACAGAGACAAAATAGACTATCACCCAATGGTTCCCGAGTTACAGAGACAAAATAGACTATCACCCAATGGTTCCCGAGTTACAGAGACAAAATAGACTATCACCCAATTCTTACTAAAAAAAAATACTTAATCTTTAATACATTCTTACACTGTTTTAACCTACATAAACGTTCTAATCCTGAATAAGCTGAGATAAAGCTGACTTGTGTTCTAAGAGTATGTTGTAGTAGATGTGGTTTAGGCAAGAGTTAGTAATATCCCATTCATTAATAAACTATCTTCACTAAGTCTCTTTATGGTGAATTATAGAACAGTTTAAGATCATCTGTTTAACTAAAATTGGTGATGTTGTTTACGTGTAGACAGTTTAAAGGATATATTGTGTTTGTTTTAGGAGATGGTGTTGTTGTTTTGATGTGTGGTGTTGGGATGTTTTTTGATAGATGTGAACGTGATCTCTGTTTGTTTGTTTTACTTTTATATCTACATGAAGCTACACGTTCTTGTTTGTTTTTATCGTCATTATCTCACTATTCCCATCCCATCCTATCCCATCCCATCCCATCCCATCCTACTACCCACTTCGCTATCCTACTTGAGAGAGAGAGAGACCCCAGTAACCAAGGCCAATGCGGACGTTAAGGTGAATGTATGTCAAGGTCGGAGAGGGGGAGGGGTGTGAGGGGAAGAGGAGAGGGAGGGGAGGGGTGTGAGGGGAAGAGGAGAGGGAGGGGGGAAGAGGAGAGGGAGGGGGAGGGGTGTGAGGGGAAGAGGAGAGGGAGGGAAGGGGGAAGAGGGGAGGTGTACTAGGCTTGGCGACTGCGTGTCTACCTACTGTACTAGTGGGGGTGAGGCGAGGGATTGATTATCTTTTGTTCCCCTCTCTCTCTCCCCTCATTTATTCCTCCTCTCCCCTCTTTCATTTCTCCCTTCCTCTTATTTGTCTCCCCTCATTCTTCCCCCCTTACTTTTATATCTCCCTTCATTCATCTCTCCTCCTCCTTCTCTCCCTTCCTTTCCTTTCCTTTCACCCCCTCGTTCTTAACTCCCTCCTCTCCTCGCTTTTACCTCATTCCTCCGTTTACTCTCACTTCCCCCTCTCCTCATTCTTACCACCCCCTCCCCTGTATACACACACACACAGTCTCTCTCTTTCTCGTGCCAAGAAGTCTGACTGACCTATAATACTAGCCTGCAACAAGCGTGTGTGTAAATGCTGCTCGACCAAACATGACCCAGCGAACAGCAGAGTAAAGAAAGGAAGACAGAGAAGAGAGAATTAGGAAAAGAAAGGAAGAAAAATAAGAAAACAAAATCCCAAGAACGAAGAATAAGAAGAATATGTTGAAGAGGAAAATTAAGAAATGAAAGAATAGCCAAGAAAAGAAATACCTGGTCTGTGTTACCTGATGAAATTAAACAACAAAGATATGATAATGTGGTGTAAATATGTCAGTGTGTTTGTTTATTTGTTTGTATTCTTGATGTTAGGAGCTCTGTGTAAACAATTCACTAGTCGAGTTTTAAATATCTATTCTGTTTACGTAATGATTTCCGGTTCGTGTTGTGAATATTTGACACAGACACACACACACACACACACACGGTCAAGGAGACAGGTTACCTTCCATTATGACGCTG